GAGAAGAAAAATAAGAACTTTAAAACATACTGTGAAAGGTGAAAACAGAACTTAAAGATGTTAAAAATTCTGTTGTACAAACTTAGGACACTTGTCCTAGAATGTTTACCAAGGACATAGCTATACAGTGTTACATTATAGAGATTAAGACTGTGACTGATGGATTTAACCAACTATCACAGCAGAAAACCCATCAGCTTAGACTGATAGGGACAGAGAAGGAATGACGGGAAGGAGCACTGCCTGCTTTGAGATTTTACAGGCAGGAAACAGGCTACGTCCTTTGTCCTCCAAGAAAAGAAAAGGACAATCCCAGAGCAGCTCAGGTATCAGCGGAATTGTTAGAAGGAGCATGGGGAGCTGGGCCTTCCTGGTCTCAAAGGGTGGGGCCACAGCCTCCTAAGTTTCAAAGAATTGTATCTTTTCCAACTCATTTCCATAGTATGGGGCTGCTGTTAAGGGGTGTCATGTGCCAGGGGATGGATCTGCCATGCAAAGCTGAGGATATGGGGCTGCCATGACCATGGGTCAGAAGAATGGAGCCGAATGGGGCCAAGAGGGTGGTTGCACTCAGATGGTCTGGGAGAATGGGGCCACCTAAAGCTGACGTCTCAGAGTTGCTGTCCCAGAGACCCTGGAAGGCTGAGCTGAATCCTGGGGCCAGTGGCCCTCCATCCAAAATGCCGAGGGTGTGGTTAGCACCCAAAATCTGGCGGCAAGGCCGTTGCCTGGATGGTCTCAGAGAAGAGAGGATTGTTTTCCAGGCTTGAGAGCTACTGTCATTGGTTCTGGTGGGTTTTGGACTTGCTGGGTGCCTAGCATCCCTTTGCATCTGTTTTCTCCTGTTTATAGTGGAAATGTTTGCCTGGTATCTCTTCCACCATTGTACTTTGGAAAGATAATTTGTCTAAATTTCACAGATTCACAGAGGAGGATGAATTTTGCCCCAGGATGGAATACATCTAAAGTCCACCTGTTTCCAATTTAGATGATTCAGAAGATGAGCTTTTGGATTTGGCATTGATTTCAGGCCTTTTGTGATGATGTGATGGGGGACTGTATTTTGCACATGACAAGGGCGTGACATTTTGAGGGCTAAATGGTAGAAAGTTGGGGATTTAATTATATCCCCCAAAATGTGTGTCTGAGATGCTTCCTGCCTCTGACCCACTCCTCTGTCCCAGGTGACCAAGAATATGGCCCAGGTCACCAAGGCCCTGGACAAGGCCCTGAATGCCATGGACCTGCAGAAGGTTTCTGCGGTGATGGACAAATTTGAGCAGCAGGTTCAGAACCTGGATGTGCACACGTCGGTGAGTGTGGCTACCTCCCAGGCTTGGTCTGTGGGAGGGCCGGGCCACCCAACGTGTGTGCCTCCCTTGGAGGCCCAGAAAGTGAGCACACGTGTACAGTGTGGAGGGTTGGGAGAGTGGGACAGAGCGTTCGGGAGAGGTGGACGCATTGTCTGTGTGGTGACCTAGGTGGACGAGGTGCCCCTGCAGGCAGCCTTGTCACAACGCCCAGCCCTCTCCTGCAGGTGATGGAGGACTCCATGAGCTCGGCCACCACACTGACCACGCCGCAGGAGCAGGTGGACAGCCTCATCATGCAGATCGCCGAAGAGAACGGCCTGGAAGTCCTAGACCAACTCAGCCAGCTGCCCGAGGGCGCCGGTGCCGTGGGGGAGAGCTCTGCACGCAGCCAGGAGGACCAGCTGTCACGCAGGTTTGTGGCCTGCCTGCTGTGTGGGGATGGGGATGGGCTGGGCCCCGGGCACCCTGTGCTGGAAGAAGTGGCCACAGACTGGGGTCTCAGGAGAGGGCTTTGTGGGGTAAGGCCTTGACCTGAGGAGGGTCGTCCTTCTGGAGCCTGTCACGCTGGCCTTTTGCTTCCTGTCTTCTGAGCCACACTGCCCCTGCTCACTACTCTTCCTCCTGGAGTGACAGTGACAAGATGTGCTGTGTTCCAGCCTCTCACCTGTGTAATCGCCATAGCCTAGGAAGGCCGCGTGTTAGCAGGAGTGAGACCCTTGTCCACGTGGCTCCCACCGGCTCAGAGCCGAGTTGGGCCTCCGCCCCCGCCACGAGCTCTGCTCTTGCCTCTTCCAGGTTGGCTGCCTTGAGGAATTAGCCGAGCCCAGCCGTGGACAGCCTCCTGCCCTGGACAGCTCTTGGCTGAGCAAGGAGGCCCCCACCTCAGCATCTTCCTTCTGCTGACCGTCGCCTCTCAGCTCCTTGCACCTGCCTGGTTTGGCAGTTAAGGACGGTTCTGCCTCAGGTCTGGTGGTGGATCTGTGCTGGTGTGAGTTTGCACAAACTTATGTAGGTGATACGGTTTGGACGGACCACAGCCCCCATAAGGCAGTGCTGTCACTCCCTGGCCACAGGTGCAGGTGTGCTGCTGCGGGTCAGCACCAGGTTGGGGCTGTTCCATCTGCTGCCACGCCTTGCCCACACGGCAGCCCAGGTCCGTCCTCAGTGGGCAGGAGGGCCCCCGTTGGCCCCACCGTGTGCACAGCCTGTGGCAGCTGTGGGCATCCCCAGGTGCCACCAAACACCCCTCCTGGTGGCCTTAACAGACGGGGTCCTCCCTCCCCACCATTCCAGGGAGAGGGTCTTGGGTCAGACAAGACCCCAGGCCGCCAGAGCCATGGGGCAGAGCAACTGGATTGCAGTCCAGGTGCGCCTACCCGGCCTTATCCACTATGTGCCGTGCCTCCTCGGGCCGGCCTCTCAGTGGGGTCTCAGGGCTGCTTCCCGTCCTCCTCTGGGCAGCCTGTGCCCGCCACTGATCGTCCGTGTGTTTGCATGTGTACGTGTGTGTGTGAGGCTCTTCGTCCAGGCACAGGGGTGGCCCTTGTCCCTCCAGTGCCTGGCCGCCATGCCTTGTTACCCCGTGGCATCTTCCTCTCTTGTCACTCTAAATAATAGAGTGTCCCCTCCTGGCTCCTTCTACTTCTTGGTTCTTGTCCATCTGTCCCTCTGAAGCCGGGTGTGGGTCTTTAACAGCCTTGGGGAACATGGCCCTTGGCCACAGTTACAGGGTACCCTGTTTGCACAGCCGAGAAGCCCGCAGAGGCGCCAGGAGAGGTTTGGGCCCAGGCTGCTGTTTCTGTTTTCCATTGCTTGAAGTTTACTTCTTTTTCTTGATGCTTTCAGAGTTTTTTGTATTTTTGCCAAAATAGAAGAACAGGTGGGAGACTGGGATCCTGGGTCCTACCTGCACCCTCATGAGCTGTGAGGCCTCATGATCACACCTGGGCAGGTGTGGCCCACCCACAGCTGAACCCTGGGGACTAGCTGCTCCCTGATGCTTCCTGTCTGTCTGTCCTGCCCCATGGCTCCGTACAGACACACCAGAAGTTTTCCCGATTTTCTGTTGGAGTCTTTCTTGAACAAGGCCCCTGGTGGCTGTGCAGGAGTTAGGTGTTGGGGACAATGTGGGTGGTTCCCTGAGGGTTGGGGCATGGGCCCCACATGGTGGGGTGTCCTTGTGGGGGCCAGATGGCATCTGGCTCCACTTCTGTGCCGTGGCGTGTCCTTTTTGGTTCATAAAAGGAGTGGGCTCGTTTGCCCCTTTCAGTTTTCTAAACTCAACACTGTCATTTCCTCAAATGCTGCTTTGAGCAGGCAGACAGGTCCCTGGCTTCCTGCTCTGGCATAGCTTCAGGGCCACAGGTGGGTGGGGGCCCCAGGTAGGGCTCTGCGAACCATCTAGCCCCCTACCCTTTGTGAAGCTGAGGAGGTGACCCTGGGTGGTCGTGGCCCCACCCACGCCAGTGGGATCAGAATCTGCTGTTAAAAATTTACTTTGAACTCTTGTTAACCTTACATAAAAGTTGCCTAGTACAGAGCTTGTGTGTCAACCCAGAGCACTGGTCAGTGCAGCGTCAGCCAGGCCCTCATTCCATTTCTCACATGCCCCAGGTATCCCCAGGCAGACGGGGCTTCAGTCCCTTGTCTTGGGACCTTGATGTTTTGAAGCGCCCCCTATAGGTTTGTGTGATGTTCCCACGTGGTCAGATCTGGGTTTGTGTGATGCTCCCATGCTGTCAGATTTGGGTTGTATGTCCTTGGTGGGGCATTGCAAATGCTTTCAAGCATACAGGGGTGCCAACTGGGAGGCGGGGTGGACGTGGATGTTAGAGGTGGTAGGAAATTGTCTGCCTCCCAGGGTAGCCCTATGTCCCCATCCCCTCTACCCCCAACTGTCTCTGCTCCACCTCCTGGTGGCCAAGAGCCCTGGTGCGGGAGGGTATGAGACCAGTACAGGGTCCACTGCACAGACCCAAGGTGACCCAGGAGAGGTGAGACCTTTGTCAGTGAGGCCCAGGGTGACCAGGAGGGGCGGTTCTGCAAATCAGACTCTTGGGCCCTGGCTTCCCAGGTCTATTGAGCCAAGATGGGCTGGGGTGTGTGCACATGTGTGCGTCAGTATGTGTGGATGTGCATGTGTGTCCACTTGTGTATCAAGTATGTGTACATGGGTATGTCTGTGCACATGTGTGTATGTGCATTTGTATGTGTGTACACAAGGAAGCGCGTGCATGGACATGAGTGCATGTATGCATGCATTTAGGTGTGCGTGTGAGTGTCCATAGTCACGCATGCATACGGAGAGGTGACAGCGGGAGCCAGGACACAGACCATCAAGTAGGATCAGCGTGAAGCCCCTTCTCAGGGTCTCTTGAGTCCTGGCCCTGACCTTCCAGGACTGAGAGGGGACTCAGGACCTAGTCTAACTGGCAGCTGTTTCCATATACTGCCATAGGAGTTGGGGAACTCTCCCTTCTGCTAGGGGTGGGTGCTGATGATATACACTCTCAGGACACACACTCTCAGTGAAGGGGCAGTGCCTTTATTGAGGGTCCCACATGTCTAGTGTCCTGAGCTTAGGAAGGCCAGGCCCATGGGTAGGGAGTAGGGCTCCTGGGTCTCAGGCCCCTGAATTAGGCGGCCTCAGTTCTAGGACCAGGAGGGTGGTTTCCAGTCCCCAGGGCCTCATAAAAGGTGCCAGCTGAGCAGAAAAGGTGCAGAGGTGGCCAGCAGGGCCCCCCACTGATAGTAGAGGCCAGAGGCTGCTGAGTATCCATAATAGGTCCTGCAGGAACCTTCCAGCTCATCCAGCGTAATGGGCTTCTCCTCTGGTGTTTGTGTGTGACGACTCACCTGGGGGCAGACGTGGTGCTCACTCACCTGCTAGCAGGAGGGGGCAGGTGCATGTAAGGGGCCTGGCCTCACCTGTTCTACCGCCTCAAAGACACGCAGAAGGTTGTTGGCCAAGGCACCCTTGACCTCCACCTCCGTCCACTGCCTCCTTAACAGCTCGGCAACCAGGTCCGGGTACTTAGAGACATCCTCCAGGCCTGTGGGCAGCCTGCGTGAGGGTGGGCCACAGCGGTAGATGAGGGTTGGCAGCCCGGGTGCCTCCCCCCAGCCCGTCTGGACATTCTGAGGAAGGGTGAACCTCCCCGCAGACAGAAGCCTCAGCCCCTCACCTTGAGACGCCGTCAAAGTCCCCGCCAAAGCCTACTGCTCCAGCACCTGCCTTCTTCTTGATGTAGTCTAGGTGGTCTGCCAGGAGAGGCAGCAGCTGTGGGCCTGGGTCCCCACCTGGCCTTTTCCCCAGTCAGCGTTGGGTCACATGCCACCACCCACCTGCTACTTGAGAGAGGTTGGCCTCCTTTGTGCATGACACGTAGTCATTGTAGAAGTTCACCATCACCAGGCTGCCCGTCTGCTTCTGCACAGGGTGGGGCCAGGCTCTGTCTTCCCTAGCCCCTCCCCGTCCTTGTACATTGTGTCCCCACCTCTGCTCCATTGCTGTCCCTACCCAGGTCTGCCATCCCTATCCCTCCCTCCCGTGCCCAGACCCTGTTCTCATCCCTGTCCCCACAGGGCTGCTGGCCACCAGCTGCAGCTTGTTGCCCGGCACACTGCACCTACACATCACATGTTCTATATTGTCCCCCTCCTCCCATCCCTTCCCCCATTATTGTCCTCTTCCCTCCAGCCCCACCCTGGCTCTTGTCCACTGACCCCATCTCTCCCTCTCTCCCTTGCCCCTTGATCCGTCACTGTCCCTGCCCCTGGGCGACCTCACACCAGCTGCAGCATGTCATTGGGCACATTGTGGTGGTGTGCTGACATAGTCCATAGCCCCGCCCTGGTCCTTGTCCACTGTCCTCATCCCTCCCTCCTGTGCCTTCAACTTCTGTTATTGTTCTGTGTTTGGGTCCCTGGTCAGCCACTCACCACCAGCTGCAGCACATCGCTAGGCACATTCTGCCCATGTGCTGACAGTCTGTAGTCCTGCCCTAGCCCTCGTCTTCCATTCCTATCCCTTCCTCCGTGCCCCTGACTTCCTGTCACTGTCCCTGTCCCTGTCCAGCCACTCACCACCAGCTGCAGCACATCGCTAGGCACATTCTGCCCATGTGCTGACAGTCTGTAGTCCTGCCCTAGCCCTCGTCTTCCATTCCTATCCCTTCCTCCGTGCCCCTGACTTCCTGTCACTGTCCCTGTCCCTGTCCAGCCACTCACCACCAGCTGCAGCACGTCGTCGGGCACGTTGCGCCGGTGTGGACATAGTCCGTAGGCTGAGGAGTGGCTGAAGATAACGGGGGCCAAGGACTGGTTCAGGACGGCTTTCATGGTGGCCAGGGACACGTGGGCCAGGTCAGCAATGACGCCCAGGCGGTTCATCTCCCTCAGCACCACCTGTAGAAGGCAGCTCAGGTCTGGAGAGACCAGTCCAGGTGTGGGCCCCCTGGGGCAGGGTTGGGGGAGAGGACCCACCTTGCCAGGCATTGACCTTGACTAAGTGGCTGCCACTCGAGCTCATCGACCTTGTTCAGCACTTGAGCGACCAGGGGGTTAACTGAATACATCCCCCCAAAGTGGCAACTTTGGCTCCATTTGACAGATGGGAAACTCGAGTTTCCAAGTCTCCTGGTTTCAACTAAGAATGTCCAACTGATGTCTCCCACTTTCTCTGAGGGTGGCTGTGGTCCTTGCCTCCCTCACCCTGGCTCCCTCCCACTCACCTTCCCGAATGACGACAGGCCTTGGCTTTGGGCATCGTCCTTTCCTGTGTCCACCAGCCAGTTGTCGGCCCTGGGAGACAAAGCAGGGCCTGGGGGCAGTGAAGCCACCACCTCCCCTGGCAGATGTGGCATGGACCTGGACTTGGGCAGGGCCCCACCTCCGGCCGCCTGCCTGCCCACGGGCTGGGTGGCTCACCAGGGCGTGTTACAGCTGTGGGTGAGGGTCAGGTAACGCATGCCCAAGTGGTAGAGCGCTCTCAGGACACCCAGGCTGCTGTCGATGGAGTGGCCGCCCTCCACGCCGATGAGACTGGCCACCTTCCTTTCCTGGAAGGCCTGCCGGATGCCTGTGGGAGACGGGAAAAGGGGCGCCCCTGGGCCTCATGATGGGCTAGGCAGGACGACGTGTTTTGCACCCTTGGGTGGGGATCCATGTCTGGGACCCTGGTATGGGGCAGGGACCACAGACTCGGGCAGGGCAGAGTTCTGAGCCCAGAAGCCTCAGGTAGACCAGGCAGGCGTCCATGCCTTGGACCTCACCTGAGCTGTTGGTGACACACACAAAGGTCTCCGGGTACAACTGGCACATACGATGGATGACGTCTATCTGCTCCAGTGTCCTCTTCACGGCATCTTTGTTTTGGGTGTCGCAGGGAGTGTATGCAGACCAGAACTGGTGGGGGCGCAGGGACCTAGGAGTAGCCCCCGGCTCTCCCACGTGTGTTCTCAGTTCCCTCCCCTCTGGGGCTCCTTCCCCACCATCCCATGTGGGTATCCCAGCCTTCTCTAAGGGCTGGTGGCAGGCGCTGCGCCCAAGAGTGGTGCCTCTTAGCTAGGCCCGATGGAGGGAGCAGGGCGTACCTGGGCACCCACAAAGCCAGCCTTCAGCTTGGGGATGTTGGTGTGTGTGTTTTTCAGTGAGTTCAAGTCTGTCCTCTCATCCCTCAGCTGGTTGTTGGATATTTTGAGCAGCTGCCAGGGCAGGTCATTGTGCCTTAGGGGGACCAGAGAGGGTCAGGGTAGCAGCTTGCATTTAGGAGCTAAAGCCCAGGCCTCAGGCTGCTACCTTAAAGCTCCAGCCCGAAGCGAGCTTACTGCCTGAGCCCCAGCCCAGCCAGGTTACGTGGAGCCAGAAGGGCACTAAGCAGGGAGGTCAGTGCCAGGGGGCGGGGGCTGAGCTGAAGCAACCAGTGGGTTGGGGGCTGCAGTGGCCCAAGCATCTGATGGCTTTTACAGTGTGACGATAAAATCCCCCCAGGAAAGAGAGGCTCGGGAATGAGGGTCTGGCCTGCCTTTGGAGGGCCTGGGGGCCTCACTCAGGCCTCCCCCATTGGCAGGGCCCCTCAGCTGCCTCAGGTGGGCCCTTCTGGCCTGAGTTCTTCTTGGGGGAGGTCTCTGCCTTCCATTTCTCGCAGGTCCTTGTTAGCTTCTAATAAAAACATTTCCTTAGGGGGTGAGTAGGATGGGGTGGAGGGAGAAGGGGACGGTTTTCCACGCCCCACCACCAGTGCTGTGTGGCCCCAGGCCTGGCTGTCACTGTGCTTGGGGTATAGTCTCCATCCCCCAACTCCTGGACTCTGGGACCCTGACACTTCGAGCACCCTGGAGAACACCTGCCAGGTACCAAGTTCCTTGATGGTGTGGCCTGACTGCCATGGGGCTGCACCCCAATGCTGCCAGTGCCTCAAGGTGCTGGGTAGGTGAGTGAGTGGCCGCTTCCCAGCTCAGGGACCCTGGGTCATGGCCTCATTACAGGGGTGGGTGGGGCCCCTGGCTCTGTGGAGGAAACTGTACTCCTTTGGTCCAAGCCCACAGAGCTCCTTGTTTATAGGCATAGGGTGGAGACCCAGGGGCCACACAGGAGGAAGGAGCCACTGTCATCTCCCCAATGCACCCAAATTGAGAGGGCCGTGACTCTCCCAGACGGCAGACACTCGCCCAACCCGGAATGCCCTGGTGAACCCTGCCATTTGAGCACAAGGGTCCGGGTCAGGCCTTTCCGGGCCTCTCAAGGGGTCACAGGTGCTACTCAGATGGTTGAGCCAGGATTCAGAGAGGACTGGGAATGTCAGAACAGCGAGCCACATGCAGCCTTCTGTTTGTGGGAGACTGCTGTCTGCCATGCTCCATCCTCTTCCTCCTTGGTTACAGCCCCCCAGCCTTGCCAGAGCACATGGCCATGGAGGGTAAAGCCCCTCCCCAGTCGCCTTGTGGCTGAGTAGGACCAAATGACTTCAGTTCTGCCCCATGACAGCTCCCCAAACTGCCCCTTTGCCCCTCCGTCATCCCTTCCTCCCCCCTTCTGTCTGGATGAGGATGTGATGGCTGGAGGTGGTGCAGGAATGGTGGCCATGTCCAAGCCCTGGCACCATGCGGTGCCGTGCCAGGACTGCGCCTGGGCTTCCCTACTTGTGTGTCTCTGACCTGCAGGAGTAGCATGGCCGACACTGGCTGACAGTTGTTAGGTTGGTTTTAGTTCTGTTAAACTAGTCTTAGCATCCTAGATCTCTGAGCAGACCTGCAGTGCCAAATCTCAGCCCCTGAGCTTCTGGCTCTCTGGGCTCTCCAGCCATCTTACTTCGGCACTGTCCCCAGCACCTGAACTCAGACCTCCTCCCTGTGTCCTGCTGCACCTGGGGGCTCCTGATGTGAAGGGATCCCGCTACCACCGTTCTGCAGCTGGCTTCTCCACCTACCCTCACTGCTCTGGGAAGCCCCAGCCCTCCTCCCACAGCAGGGACTCCAGGGTGAGCCCATGGGGCCCACCCAGGCCTTGTCTCCCACCTGTGGCTCCCAGAGGAAAGGAAGCAGGGAAGTAGAATCTCCAAGGAGGAAGAACTGGGCCGCTTCCTCTCTAGGGCAGCCCCTTCCCTGAGGGCCTCACTGGGGGCATCAGCTTCCCACTGTTCTTACAGAGCTTTGCCCTCCAACCAAACTGCGGGGCAGGGGAGTCTGCCATGTAATAAGACTGCAGCCTTGGCTGGGCCTCCCAACCACAGTAGTGTTGCCTTTACGGGCCTGGTGTTTATGGGGCAATCAGGAAAGGCCTTGAGGCTACTGTGACGCCCCACCCCAGCATAGCCCTGATGGGGATGAGGAGCTGCAGAAGGAAGAACCTTCTCAAGGGGATGGGGTGGGGGAGCAGGGTCGGGTCCCGGCAAGCACAGGGGCCCATTGAAAGGGTGCTGGCCTGGACTAGGGAGGATGTGCAGTGGGAAGGAGAACAGGACTCTTGACCCTGTGAGGGTGGAGGGGCGGCACCGTGATGGACCAGAGGACAAGACGCCCCCAGAGTTGTGGCCTGGACAGCTGAGGGTGGGGCCTGCATTCACGGGGACACAAGGCAGAGTGAGGCAGGAGCTCAGTGTGATGTCAGAGGTGGGGCTGCATGGAGACCCCCAGGGGGTAGACTGGAGGGGGGTGGACCAACACTGGACCTGAGACAGGCTGCCAAGACGGGGATGTTGCAGAGCAAAGAGGGGCCACCCTAGAGTGCTCATCCCAGCATGCAGCTCCCAGAGAGGAAAGGCAGTCGAGGTGTGCTTCTCCAGATGCTGTGAGCCGGGCCCCAACCCCTGGGTGCAGGTGGGGCCCGGAGCTCACCCCTGCCAGGCGCTGAGGCCGCGGGCCCTTTTCTGCCCTGTTCCCAGTTCAACCCCATTTGCTGAGGCCTTGAGGGCTTGAGAGAGCTCCACAGCCCCCAAGGCAGGGCCCCTCTCATGGCTGGGAAGCTGAGTCCTGGTGGGGGCGGCAGCAGGTGGGAACCTTGGCGTGGATGGTCCTTACCCGTCGATGACAGGTGTGTCCTGCATGACCCGCTGGGCCTGCTCCCGGAATGTGTCGGCAGTGCAGACGGCCACGAGGGGCCACAGCCACCAGCAGGTCCACATCACGCGTCCCCCGGCACCCACCGCAGCTTAAGGCCTGCCTGTGCACAGAAGGCCAAGTCAGGGTTATAAGGAGCCATGCTCATTCCAGGAAGTTGCTTATAGAGGCCCTTTGGCCTAGGCGATTACTGCTGTCCCCTCCCTAAACACTGCGTTCAATGAGTAACTAGCTGCGAGCTGGGCGAGGGGGCAGGGAAGGTCAGTCTGGAGGGCTGGGTGTAGCCGTGAGGCCAGGCACAGTAAGTCTGACCCTGCCCAGAGGATGAAGCTCTCAAACTAAGGAGCTCGTGCCATTAAAGAGCCCTCAGGTGTGTGCTGCGGCAGAGCCATGAGGGAGCCTTTTCAGAAGCAGACCTTGTGCCCAGTGCTTGCTGGCAGGCCTGGGTGCTGCTAGCTCAGGAGCCCCTCCTGAGTGGCTTTGTTGAAGGAATGACAGGGCCAGCGCTGAGGGGAGATGCGGGCGGTGGGCTTCCAACAGGCTTGGGATACAAGAAGTGGCCCCCCACAACCTTTGTGGGTGCTCAGGGCTGGGGCCCAATCTCCACTCCTGCCACCAAGGAGAGTCCACGGACTCTTCCCGCCTCTGTCAGAGGTCAGAGTGCCCGGCACGGTCAGGGTGGGCAAGGGTGGGTGCAGCCAAGGGGATTCCACCCAGGAACAAAAACATTCCTTCATTTCATTGCAATGTGCCTGTGTGTTTGCACAGAAAACACTTTTAAATTACCCACAGCGAGGATAGATGTTCTGTTCCAGGCTGGGGGCCCCCGTGCCTGCCCTGCGCCCCAGCACCCCAGCCTCGCAGGGATCCTCGTCCCAGGCCATGAGGCCACTGAGAGCCGGGATGTTGGAGTTGTGGGAAGAAGTGGATGCCAGGCAAGAGGGTGATGGTTTATTCTCTGTGGCCTTCCCTTGCCCCCCCCCCCAGCCCCCGGCACCAAAGCACACCGTCAGCATCCCCTTGGACAAGCCACGCACTGGCATCGCTGGGCTCAGACACGTCTTGGAGGACCCACCTTCTTCACCAGAAGACTTCTCACCTGATATCTATTTTATCTGACATTAAGGCCACACCCACTTGCTTTCTGATGCTGTTTGCCTGCTTTATATCTTTCCATCTATTTACTCCTAACATTGTTTGTTTAGGGTTGTTTTTGTTTTTTTATTGTGGTGAAACACACACCAAGACATCCACCAACAACACCACAACTTCCATATTTACAACTCGGTGACAATGACTACATTTTTCATGTTGTGTCCCTGTTACCACTGTCCTCATCCAAAACATGCCACCACCATTAACATAAACTCAGTACCCCCAAAACAAAAACTCCCTTCTCCCCCTCCCTTCCAGCTCTGGTAACCACTAATAATCTTTGGTTTCTGTGTATTTCCTATTGTCATGTAAGTGAGATCATACAGCGTTTGTCCTTTGGTGACTGACTCAATTCACTCAGCATGATGTTTTCACAGTTCATCCGTGTGTGACAGCAGCAGCACTTCTCTTTTTGGCTGCATACTATTCCACTGTGTGTATAGACCACACAGCGTTTACCCATTCAACTGTTGATGGACACCACTACTACTTTTTGGCTTTTCTTTAAAGAGCGTATGCTGTGGCTGAAGGAGGTCTCAAAAAAGGAGATCTGGAAGCCCTAAGCCCAAACCACACCCACTACCATGGAGTCTATTCTGACCCACAGCGCCGCTAGAGGACAGAGTGGAACTGCACCACAGGGTCTCCAGGGCTGTCAATCTTCACAGAAGCAAAGCCCAAACCATACCCACTGCTGTCTAGTGGATTCTGACTCACAGCGCCCCTAGAGGACAGAGTGGAACTGCCCACAGGGTCTCCAAGGCTGTCATCTTTACAAAAGCAGTCTGCCTCATCTTTCTCCCTCGGAGTGGCTGATGAGTTCCACCCGCTGACCTTTCAGTGAGTAGATGGGTGCTTAACCACTGCTCCACCAGGGTCCTTGCATTTTTAAGTCCCGTTTAAACCAACCTTCCTCTTTTAACATCATTTAACGCTTCCGTGGTCATTGACGAGCCACTGCCATTCATCTGTGCGTGGCTCCGTTTTCCTGGACCCTGTTTCTCAGGCACCTCCTTGTCTCCTGGCAGAGAGATTTAGTTTGACTTGCTCTTCACTTCTCACAGCGCCTTCCTGCCGCCCCCCCCCCCCAGGCCGTGCAGCCCTTCAGCTCAGTGGAGACGGCCTCCCTCAGGCGCCTCGCCTCCCAGGCTCTGCTCTGCACCCACCGCCCTGCTCTCCGGCACTCTCCTTTGTGAACGCCGTGGCCTCTCTGCGTCCAGAGGATGGAGGAGTTTCCTCTTTGTCCTTTGACCCTGACCCAGGAGGGTCGAGGTATTTGTCTTTTTCCCTAAACCTGCCCTTCCTTCAATTTTCAAATCCAGAACTTACTTAGTTGTTAACAAACATTTTTCTGCTCTGCCACACCTATGTAGTAGTTTATTAGTTTAAATAGCTGACAGGAAAGAAGGAATTACAACTCACTCCTACCTGGTGGGCTGCTCACCCATGGCCTGCTTTCTGGCTATCCAGCTTGGGGCATAAGGAGCCCACATGGCTCCCACAAACTACCCCAGCTCCTCATTTCCTTAAATACAGTTACGTCACAAAAGTCTAGTCCTTCCACTTCTGCTGCCTGAGGTAACACCCCTGAGCCCCTACTCTGGCCCCTTCCTAGCCCCTAGCCTTGGACAGTTGTGTGGCCACTTTTACATCATCCACTCCAGGGACAGGGAGGGTGAGGTGAGCAATGCACGTTTAAGAGAGCACAAACCTGTCATCAAGATCAGTTGCAGTCTGATCCAGCATTCTAAACCTCAGCATTAATGCACTCAGGCCCAGATGAACAACATGCCGTTTACACAAGGACCAGTCGGTGCTCAAGCCTGCCCGCTGCCTCGTGCCCTGTGGACTGGACTCAACTGAACACATCTGTGTCCTGCTGTGTAACTTGTGTAACTCAAGTGGATTTTCCAAGTTGGTGGTAGGGACAGCACCTCCAGGAGGAAAGTGGTGTGTCACAAAGGGGAGACTCAAGGCCGGCCACACAGTCCTTGGGCCTGTGTGAGCACTGTGAGGATGGTGAAGTTGGAGTGTGACGCTTAGTGCAGCATGAGGCCAGACATGACTCCTTTTCTGTCCTTCCAGGGGCTCAACATCTTGCCTGGCTCAACTCGACTTGGCTATGTTCAATGAGCACTTTGAGATCAGACAGCTTGAGCCCCCATCTCACTGTGGTGTGAGCCTGTCTGCTCCTTGGCCTCAGTTTCTTCATCTGTAAGGTGCTTCCTCATCATACCTGCTGTTGGGAGAACTGAGGTATAAACCACTAAGCACTGCGTCCTGTGGATCGAGGCTCTGACTCACGGGGACGCCATGTGTGTCAGAGTGGAGCTGGGCTCCATAAGGTTTTCAGTGGCTGTTTTTTTGGAATTGGATTGCCAGGCCTTTCTTCGGCAGCACCTCTGGGCAGACTTGTACCCCAACGTTGTGTTTAGCTGCTGAGCATCCTAATCATCTGCACCACCCAGAGACTGAGTCATGCTTAAGCCTGCTTGTTCATATGGTTTTACTTTCATCCTGGAGTTTCTGATTGCCTTTTTTTTTTTCTTCTGCTGAATGCATTGATTGTGCTCTCACAAGCTTCCCAGCTCTGAACTGCTGACGGCCCCTCATCCCTCTACTGCTGCTCTCTCTGGGCATGAAACGCCCCCCAATCATGGCTCCTTGCCTGGGATCAGTGGCTCTGACTTAATGTCTGTATTTCAGGTCTCCATCTTCAGAAGGTTTTATTGCTGTTGTTAGGCGCCTTCCAGTCATTTCCGACTCATAGTGACCCTATGCACAGCAGAATGAAACACTGCCCAGTCCTGTGCCAGCCTCACAAACCTATACCTGAGCCCATCGTTGCAGCCACTGTGTCAATCCGTCTTGTTGAGGACCTTCCCCTTCTTTGTTGACCTTCCACTTTATCAAGCATGATATCCTTCTCCAGGGAATTGTTCCTTCAGAAGGTTTATGCCCTCATTTTGAGCATTTCCTCAAATCATCTCCTAACAGTGGTGTGTGGGCAGTGAGTGCTGAGTCCCTGAGCGTCTGAGTGTGTTTCTCTTCTGATAGACACACATTTCCCTAAGAACCATTCCCTCAGAACTTGCAGTTCTGTGAACACAGGGTCGTAGACGTTCAAGGCCGCCTGACACTCAGCTCTCTGTAGGGACCTGCTGGTTCCTCCACAATCTTCCTGCGTTTGGGGAACTCAAGGCCGAAGTCTCATCTGTGGGCTCTGCAATTTCTCACGACTGCATTAGTTAGAGACTTTTTTGATTCAACCAGCGCTGCATTCTGGGGAGTCACTCATTGGCACACCCGTACTTCCTTTGGTGCAGGGCATTTTCTATCTTATCTCCGCCCCTATTTCTTTTCCTCCTTTCTAATACGAGCCCCTAAAGGAGCTCTGGTTGTGTAGTGGCAGCATATGGCTGCTAAGCAGAAGGTGGGTTTGAACCCACCAGCTGCTCCGCAGGAGAAAGATGAGACGGTCTGCGTCCATAAAGATTGACAGCCTTGGAAACCCTCTGGGGCAGTTCCACTCTGTCCTCTAGGGGGCTTTGATCAAAATCGACCCAATGGCAGTGGGTTTGTTTTTGGTTCTCCCTTCCTGGTGCTGCTGTTGATCAGATGTTGGACCTCCCGGACCGTTCCTTCTTGTCTCCCGTTTTTGCTCTTTCATAGTTTAGGTCTCCTTGGGCTTTTGTTCCAGGCCCTACGAGGTCTCCTGGATGCTGTCTTCCAGCACTTCTCTTTTGTTTCCTTTCAGAAATTGTACATTTCATGTCCAAGAGCAGTTTGTTGCATTTTTGTGGCTTTTGTTCTTCTTCCTTGGACCCTGCTGCTTTTGTGGAAGCAGGATGGTCTGAAATCAGTTAGAGGTTTGGTTTTGTTTTCTTCTTTTTACTGCGTAATAGCCTGC